CCCGTGGCCGGACCGTGGAACGCAGTCTGTGACAGCGGGACTCCTGTCCCGGGCAGCCCGGTCAGACCCAGGGTGGTGGTTCTCGGCCTCTGCAGCACCACAGACAGGTGGGGAGGCAGGGCCACCGCTGCTTGGAGCAGAGCCGGCCGAGCTCTGGGTCTCAGTCCATCAGTCCCTCACCCCCTCCATGGCCATTGGCAGTCACTCTAGCCCAAGCCACCCTCGTCCTTTTTTTGTGGGTCACCACAGAAACGTCCTGACCAGCCTCACTTCCGCCCTGGCCGCCTCTGCTCCTCTGCATTTCATCCAGAATGCACTTTAGAAAACGGCAGACATCATCCTGCCAACACCACCATCCCCGCCCCCACTTACACGCTTCAGAATCCCTCACTGCTCTTGGGAGAGAGACCAGGATTCCTGGCAGTGGCTCCCAGGGTTCACGCTGCCTCTCTGGCCTCCCCGCTGGCCTGCCCACTTGGGCCTCCTTCCCACTTGCTTTCTTAAGTGTCCTTCACACACATTTCAGGGCCCCTGATGGTGCTGCGGGTCAGGCACGGAGCTGTCAGCTGCAGGTTTGGTGGTGCAAAGCCCCGAGTTGCTTCGCAGGAGAAGATGACGCTGTCTGCTCCCGGAGAGATGGACCATATCCGAAACCCCGAGGCAGCTCTACCCTGCCCTTTAGGATCTTGCAGGTCGAATGGGCCCCACGACAGTGGAGTTGGGGTTGGCTGAAAGTGCTGTCTGGATTTGAGTCTTTTCCTGAACCCCCTTTACCTTCCACTGCAGAGTTCAGCTTAAGCATCCCCGCCAGGGCAGGCTTGGGCCGCTCACCCCTTGGAGTCAGGTCAGCCCTCTTTGCTCTGTGCTGCCCCAGCATCTCCCAGAATCCTTTGCCTCATGTTCTGCCCAACCTCGGGGCGCTCAGGAATGCATCCGTGCAGGTGCCCCATCCACACTTGTGTTGCAGGTGCTGCAGGCCACAGGAGTGGCTTGCCACTGCTCCCTGGACCCAGGGCCTGCTCCAGAGAAGGTGCTGTTATGGTCAGTTGTCATCAATTCCAACTCACAGCGACCTCACGTGTCGGAGCAGAACAACGGTGTCCCATAGAGTTTTCCAGGCTAGATCGCCTTACTTCTGAGGGGCCCCTGGGGGACCCTGAACAACCAACCTTTCAGTTAGTAGCCCAGCACTTGACCGATAGGGCCAGCAAGGCCTCCCGGCTTTTACATGTCGGCCTACAGTACAAATGCACCGAGGGAGAAAGATGAGGCGTCCTCACCCGGTAGAGAGGCACAGCTCACAGGGGCAGTTCTGCCCTGTCCTACCGGGTTGCTAAGAGCCAGCATGGACTCGATGGCACCAGAATGACAAATGTCTGTGGAGGGACCGCTCGGAGATCACATGACCCATTCCGAGTCCCAGCAGGGAGCACCAAGTCACCTTCCGTGTTGGTGAGGGCTCGAGCGGAGGGCAGCTCCCCTGGGCTGGAGACCTTCTCCTACCCCGGCTCGGCCTCTCCCTGCCCCTGGGAGGAGGCGGTTTCACCCAGTAGTCCACGGGCTGCCTCTGGCTGCTGCTAACATTCTCCTCCCCCGGGTCCCGGGGTGAGCCCGTAACCCCAGAGGGGCTCAAGAATCAGAGGTGCCGTCAGGTGGGGGGTGGTTAACCTCCCTCCCGTTTGCCCGGGTGGCGCTTTCAAGGCAAATGACATCAAGCAAAACCCTCACCGCCTCATTCTCCCTGGCCACGTGTCCAGTGGCCAGTGGTCACTGTCTAAGGCAGGGTGGGAAGTTGGCCAGGACCGTGCTGCCACAGAGACCACCCTCACCAGGCCTTCTCTGCTCTCCTTGTCCTGGGGGCTCTGGAGGTGAGCTCCAGGCTAGACAGTCTGGACGGACAGAGCCTCGGCCAGGAGCCACAGAGCAAGGAGCACTGGGACTGGGCAGTGCTTCCCAAAGTGGGGGCGACCACCCCCAGGGCAGGCTGGTACTGGTGCGGTCCGGGGAGGCTGCAAAAGCCGATGCCTGTACCTTATCTCAATCATGGGCCTCAGCACAAACATCTTCCACTGCCAGGGAGGCAGAGTACTTACTTGTATTTTATGTTTCTCTGAAAAGGGGTGGAATCACTTTCAGATTGCAGTCCTTTGTGCATATGGACCGTGCCTCAGACCGGAACTACCTGCCCAGTCAGTTCGGGAACCTGAGGGTCTTAGGTTGCGATTCTGGCCACACAGGTCCCAGTTTCTTTTTTTAAAATTATTTTTATTATT